GCGGTAGCCGCAGAAGCGGAAAATGACCGCAGGTGCGGAAACAACTGATCAGAAGTGGGTTTTTAATCCCTTCGCGAAATTTTACAGAACACATATTTTAACTTCGGATTTGGGGTGTTCTTGAGTGATTTTGAAGAGAAAATTCAAGGACTTCGATCAGGTAAGCATTCTTGGACTTAGAACACAATTTTATCATGCAAATACATGAAATTACACTGAAAACTCAAGGAATTAAGGTCAAAAATGGTGGTTTAGGGCTTGAAACCTAAGAGAACAAAAATGGGATTTTGAGGGGTCATTTGGACTTTGATTTTGGTGTTCTTTATATGCATGGACTCGTGGCAAGATAAGGAATCCGGTGATGTGAAATTTATAATTTTTCGAGAAGTGGGCCCGGGGCTCGGGTTTTGCCAACTTCGTGATTTTCGATGTTTTTCGAGTCTTTTCTCTTGGGTTATATTCCCTTAGCATATTGTGACGTATTCGTTGTGGTTTTGGTCAGATTCGACGCACGAAGAGGTGAATTGGAAAGGCAAGGGCATAGCAAGCTAGGACTTTGGCCGGCTTGAGGTTAGTAATAAATGTAATTACTTTGTTGAGGGTTTGAAACCCCGAATTTGCACATTGTAGTGCTATGTTGAGGTGACTTGCACGCCGGATAACGGGCGTGGGGTAGAGCACCGTCGGGGATCGTGACTTGGTCCATCCCGCTTAATAAAATTACTACCTAATTGATTGTAGTTTTTGTGATATCCTTATAAAAATGGATTAATTATCATAATTGGGCTTCGTGCCTACTACTTGAATCCTTCAGAGATTATTTTTACTGGTTTCTTGCCATATTTCTAGATATTGAATTCAGTCCTGGTATTTAACATTGTTGTTGTAAACTCAGACATTTTTCTAAAAGTAGAAACTAAAGTAATATTTTTAAATGAAGTTTGGGCTGAATATTTTTATAGTATTGTGCCGAAAGGCTTATGTGATTTTGACTGAGTATGGGATCGGACTGCACGCCGCAGTGGTATGATGATGATATTGATATGAGGCCAAAGGCCTGATTGATGCCACGAGATGGCTTATTATTGCGCTTACGGCCCCTCCCGGAGTCTGCACACCCCCAGTGAGCGCCGTCGACGTTAAATAAATGGAGCGGGCTGCACGGCCGCAGCGGGGTACTGGAGAGTACCGGTTTATGTGTTGCATTGCATATTTTAATTGTCATTTATTCTTTATCTGTTGTGGTATTATTATAATTGTCCTCGCTATTTTACTGTATTTATAGCTTTACCTTGTGTTATTTAGGATTTCTTATCTTGGAACTTTATTTATATTTATTACTTTCTGGGTTGGAAGTACTCACAATACTCCCTGCACCTTGTGTGCAGATTCAGGTACACCACAGGGTGAGTGAGGACTTGTTGGCTGAGCATCGTTTATCCGGGAGTATCGAGGTAGCTGCATGGCTTTCGCAGCCTTGATCTCTCCCATCTATCTTTATCCTTTTATTCGTATTTTCTTTCCTAGACAAACTTGTGATTAGGTAAATATTTTGTATTAGAGGCTCATGTTCGTGACACCAGATTCTGTGGGCTGGTTAGTATTTTGTTTTTATTTTGGGGTTTTCGAATGTTAGAGATTATTTCAGAAGTTCCGCATTAAATTGGTATTTTAGTAGTGAATATTTATTTATCTATCTAGATTAATTGGTTAAGGTTGTGGAAATGGTCGGGCTTGCCTAGCAACGTGTTGGGCGCCATCACGACCGGGGTTGGGTCATGACAAAAATATTGTTCGTCCTTCTGATTAAGTTGTACTGGTGACATGATTTTCAAACCTAAAAAAGGGAAAACCGGATTCGTTAAAGAGTGATACCTTAAAATGAATTCACTGCAGAAAAAAACCATTACGGTTCAGTCCGTTGGAAATATCAAATAGTTGATGGAGTTTTCAACCAACAACAGCCCGTGAATATCATGTTAGTGTCAAAAATTATGTTGCGCGGACTCTCCAAAATGTTGTCGCATACTCCAAAAATATACTACTTTTGAACGATTCGATACGCACCCGACGATATTTTCGGAGGGTCCGAGCAACATATCAAAAATATTATTTTCCAATAGTGAATAAAAACGGTAAAATTTTATCCGAATGGAAACATTGTAAATTGTCGAAAATTTCATCGAAAATAATACTGGTGAGGGTGTGAAAAATCATGAAATGTTAATATCCTTAAAAGTTTATATTTTTTTTACGGTTTTTGGTCGATATAAATGTCAACCGTCTAAAATTCTTCGGAGAATACTCGTTTTTCTATTAGGGGGTGGTGGGTGGGTAGTATTTTCATTGTCCAATCGTAGATTTGACGTTGATACTAGCTATATGAAACATTACTATTAGACACTTAGTCATTTACCAATGAATTATTTCGTTGGACCTATCTACAAACAGTTATATTTTTGTTGGGTGACTATAGCAAATAATAGGGACCGCTACTACAAATAGTTTAAAGAGAAAGTGGACCAAAGGTAGATTTATATATTAATTGAAAAATCAAAGGGAGAGGTTGGGAAAGAGAGAATATAAACGGCGCATGCGTTGGTGTGGGCACATGGGGGCAATGTCTTTTACCTAGACAAACTCAAACCTCAATATATTGCCCCTTCTTCACTTGTTGTTTTCAGCAATGTGGCTAGTTTTAAGAAAGACAAATTTTAAATTGATTTCCTCTCTGCTAGGTTTCTCTTTGGTCCCCTTTCATAATTCAGAAAATTTCTAGATGACGTGGTAATTATTATTGTTTGTTAATTATAAAGTGTTGCAAGTCTCCAACATTTTCACGTTACCTATACTCTAAGACTGTTTTGTTTTGATCTAGCTGCAAGTTAGTTATGATTAGGGTGGCAAAAGGGCGGGGCGGGTCGAAAACGAGTAATGCAAAAAATTAATAAATTATCCGATCAGACCCATATTTAATACGGATAAAAAAATGATTAGCCGACGGATAATATGGATATATATATCCGTGGCTTCTTGAATATGATCATTTTGGAAGAATGACTAGTCTCTCAAACTTGACTCCAATTTGAGGTTTTACAAATGTAAAAGTTAAACCCACTAGTTATCCATTGGTTATCTATTTTCTAAGTGGATAATAAGATTCCTATCCATATTTGACTTGTTTATAAATAGTTCATTATTCAACTCATTTTTTTAATGTATAATATGAGTGGATAAATATTTTTTTTAACTATTTTGCTACCACTAGTTATGACATAGTGATAATAGTAAAGGGTGTGGTTGGTGATTGAGGTTCCTCCTTCCTGAATTAGAAATTTCAAGTTCGTGTTTTGAAAGTAGAGAATTTTTCTCTAGTGAGTTTTATTTCTGAGTGAGCTTACTCGACACGAATATAAATTAGTTGGGCTAATGAGTTTCAAACGTATACTAGATGGTAGACATAGTTATTGTAGTTTCACATAATTTAAAATTCAAAAATTGCATTTGCTTTTATGTAAATCACATATACTATATGTATGTATGTATGTATTGGTCAGGTTGGTGGAATGGAGTGAGGGCGTCCTTTTGTCTTTAGCTTTGGAGGTTCCTTATGTCTTTGATTGATAAACAATGACATGCATGTAGACAGACAGGCCCTAATGGAAGGGAAGGACCACAAAAACTTTTAATGCCTAATCCTATAATTTTTTCTTTGCTTTATTGTTCTCCCAATTGTTTGATTAATATATAGAGAGAGTCACATGGTTTTGCCTTGTAATTTAGCTGAATAGAGTTAAATCTTCATTTGATTAAGGTTGGGGAGTTAGGTGGTTGTGAATAAAGCTGTCCGTGTATTTTTATATGGCTTTTCTTTTTCTTCTCTTTTTTGCCTTCACAAAGAAACAAAATATAATAAATTAGGGGTTTTTTTCTTTCTATATTCCCTATGTTTGTGGGTCACACTAGTCTTGAAAATTATTTATAGATAGGAATTTTTTAGGTTTCTTCTGTTAATTTGTCCAACAGTACATTTTAATTTGTTTTTGGTTAGCAGAGGGTGGTTCAAATTCGTTCATTAGATTTTCATTATCTCTAATTTGTGTGACCACTAACAAGTTTATTTAATTTGAATACTAATAAATTTCAAGTGCTTTTCATCTAAGCAATAGTGGGGTCTCTCTTGTGTGATAATGTCTAATTATGTTTATATGATATGTGTATTCTATTATGCACTTAATAATATTCACACACAAAGAAATTTGCCTTTTAATGTGCTATGGTCATGGCAAACATGTTTCTTGGATTTCCATTAATGAAGTTATAATTATGGACAAGAAAGACTAATGACATGATAAACAATGACATTAGTGAGTGTCTCTAGTTAATGGAAGAAATGTAATAATTAGGGATTCAAGTTATATGCACCGACAATCTAGAAGACTCATTCGTTGCCGCGCAACAACTACTATGCCTCAATTCCAAGCTACTTAGGATCAACAATATAATTCCTCTCTATCCATGCCAGCTCTGTGTAACCAACATGACTAAAAACGTAACTCCAATTAATTAGAAATACCTGTATGGATTTTTTTCTTCCACTGTGCCATATATCTTCGAAAAGGTTGATCATTTGCATGGAATCTCAGGCAAAAAAAGAAGAAAAAAATGAGGAAATCTTGCTCCTATTTACATAGTATATCAAGGAGGTTATGTACCACAAATCCAAAAGTAAGACAATTTGTACTTAATCCCCTACTAAATCCAAAGGACACCAGCATCCTCATCATTCTACCATTCTAAAAGCCATTTCATTATCTTGAAATTGGTATGTATGTTAAAACCATGTGTTATCAATTAAGGACAATACCAAATAACAGCTGAAAAGCTTAAACAAGTCTAAGCACCCAGGTAACATACTTTCCTAACAACCACATAACCTTTTTTCAGACTTTTTGTTGGGGAAGAGGGATCAAAAGTAGTACAAGAAAATAAATTATATATTAGTAGAACCCTCTGGACACTTTAAATCAACTAATTAGCAAGAAGTTCAAAATCCAGCACAAGGTTTGGATATTTTAAGTACAAAATGTAGATTTTCTGTTACACTTTTTGCCTGGGGAACAGGAATATAGTCAAACTCTAGTTTTTTTATCCAGTTCAGAATAACACACATGCATATGGGCATGTGCTTTAGCAGGTCCAGCACGTGGCAACTAAAACTATACAGCTAGGGATGGAAAGAAACATAGTCAACTTTACACAGGCAAATGAGGTTACCCTTCATGCCATCAACAGGTACCTCAAAAAAGGAAAATAAACATGCATGGTTTAGACTCCAACAGAAACTTTGGGATTGGTCTGCTTGAGATGACTGACTATCTGCATCCCCTTTAGTGGTAGGGATGTGTGAGCAGGAACGTCGAATGGGAAGGGGAGATGAAAAGACAAGGAATGAGAAGCATGATCCCACTAGTAGGGTCTGGGAATGGTGAGGTGTATCAGACCGTACTCCTACCTTGTGTGATCCCACTAGTGGGGTCTGGGGAGGGTGAAGTCTACACATACCTATACAATTGTGCTAATTTCTTCTATTTATTGAATTAGACTTAACGATGTAGGAATTATTTTCAATCTCCACTATTTTCTAATTTAGGCCAACCTTGATCGGCTTGAGACTTCACAAACTCAGCTAAAAGTTTAATTTCATCATCTTGCAATCGAGGACCAAACGTGCATTGACCCCTCGGTGTGCAATTCTGACCAAACCCCTGTAAAGCCAGACAGCGCATTATGGTTCACCACATAGCAGCATAAAGATTAGAGCCGTCAATATGGGCTGGCCCAACTGCATAAAGATTAGAGCCGTCAATATGGGCTTGGCCCGTTGGGCCAGCCCAGCCCGTCACTTAGCAGGGCTGGGCTAGAATTTTTGAAGCCCATTTAAAAACGAGGCTTTTAAGCCCGACCCGAGTAAGCCCGTGGCCCGTGAGGCCTGACTGAGGCTGGGCCGGCCTAATAAAAATATATATTTCAAATATATAAAATATAATAGTTATACGATACAAAAAAATATCAAGAAGAGTATCCAAGCTAAAGTTTATTAAGCTCATCATATTAAAAGATCAAAGTCTTAAAACGTTAATTAGTTTTAAAATTTAATTATTCTTAATATTTAACTAATTAATATTGCATACGAATTGCAGATGTAGATGAAAGTGAAGATATTAAGACAACCTTCTCACAAGCCGATTCAAATATGTTTGATGAAAATGATATACTGGATATCCCGTAAGCATAATGGATGTTCTCTTGAATAGTTTGTTTTGAGTTTTGACTTTTAGTGAACGAAATATTAGTCTTGTTTTTACTTTTTTTAGTGTTTATCATATATTGGAACAGTATAAAAAGTTATTAATTTTTGTGAAATTTTTCCAATAAGATTTTTTTAACTTTTAAATATTTATCTTATTAGGTTAGAACTTAAAGAAAAAATGTAAATTATATTTTAAAAAATGATGGGCCGGCCCGTGGGGGCCCGCAGCCCACATAGGGCTGGGGTGGGCTGACCATTATAAGGCCCATCAAAATGGTGGGCTAGCCCAGCCAAGCCCGTCAATTGCTAAAGCCCACGTGGGTTGGGCTAGGCTAGCCCGGCCCCGCCCATATTGACAGCTCTAATAAAGATAAACATGGTTCTGAACAGTGTGAACTTACTGGCATTCTCCCTTTGCCATAGTAAGTGATGCGATAGATCTCCTCTTCCGTGTCAGCTCCATTTCTATACAGAAAAGTAGCTAGTTCAAAGATGGCCATTTTTTTTCCCATAATGATATGACAAGTTGCAACTAAACTATGCATAAAAACAATTGACAATGAACGGAATATTATATACAGCAAGACAATAAGTCCTCAAAAGTTGAGATGAAATAACCTATTATCTATATAGATTTGGTTTTCGTCAAACCATAATGTGGATTCAAACGTTTAACAACACAACAAAATAACATGAGTGATTTTAGTCTTAGCTAACGTATGTAATAGGATAATTAGTTTGCTGCACATTCTATGGTTCTGCTTATACGAACATTTTGATATTCAGTTTACCTTTTATCCATACGTTTTCCTCACAAGAGTTGACATTTTCAACCAAATCATATGTTCAGAAAATTTGACCTGCTAAGCTTTAGAAGGGGATGGGAAAGGGGAGGGTAAGGGGGGAAATTATCTTCAGCAAACCAACAAAGAGCCTTTCATTTAGAGCCATTCAAAACAAAAAGTTAATGGAGTAGATGGGCACATTTTGTGAAGGAAGCAGCATATAAACTCTTCACATTCTGAACTTTCAGTTGCTGTGAATATCTTATATATTTAGTTACCATCAGTTGTTCCGGGTACAGAAAATTAGACCAAGAAGCTGACAAGTAAAGTCACAAGTATGTTTATACCTTTTCTTTTGAAATAGGTAACAGTAAAGTGTGGTAATAATTTTACTAGCGAAAATTTAAGCATCCTTTCTTTGAACTTCTGGTTTCGATTTAGATATGTATAGTTCTAAGGAACCACGACATGGAGTACAACTTAAAACAAAATCTTATGGATAGATTATAATCTTTTACCTTTCTAGATCCTTCAAGAAGAGTGTAGCACCCTAACATGAAAAAGGAAAAATATTTAAGGTGAGCTGCAAAATCTTTGACGATTATTGGGATCATGAGGCAAGTAATACTCACAGGCTGGATTATATTTCCACCTGCATAATGACACCCAATGCAAGCTTTACTAAACAAAGCAGCTCCCTTTTGTACTTCTATTGTTTGTCCAACTGAGACTGCAAATAAAAATACAATAAAATAAAGGAGAGAAGAGAGCCGAGAAGCAGGTAAAAGATGGATAATGTTTTAAGATTAAAAGGCCCAGTACTGAATTTTAACTGCAAACACATTGACAACAAGGGATTACTTCTTGCAACCTACATCAGATGTGGAATCAGCCTAACTCTAATTTTCCAGTACACCAATGTCAAATAAGGAAATACAATCAAGTCACCTTCAAAAGGGACCTCCAGAAAGTAGAGACTACTAAGACTGTAGCCGCCATTAAAAATATTATATTTACTGACCGGTGCCTGTAGTTTATGTAAAACATAACCAGAACATCTTAGGCAACCTTCTCATTTTGTCCTCTTGTGAGCTTCCTGCATCCTCCATCAGATGTGCTCATTTCTAATATTGAAAAAAAAATTAATTTCTTCTTGACATGGCTAACATGGTCAAACTTTTGCGACAATTTTCATGTGGATTGTTTTGGGTTGGGATGCTCAATGCTTGCAATCTGTGTCTTGTATGGGTTATATAACAGGCAAGAAATTACTGATGTTTTTCTACAAATAGCATAAATAAGAACGTTTCAAGTGTTGGAAGAACATTCACCAACTTAGGAGCATGCTAGCTACATGGATTCCCTGTTCGTAACTACTTATTTTCCTCTCTTTTTGCTATCTCACCCACTAAACTAGCCGCGGTTTACTTGCGCTTTGTGCTAAAGCATCAACACACCTAAATGCTTTTTGTTGATTTTGCCTTTGATAACACTGGCGTATAACTATAGTCTCCATAATATGATCTTGAACAAGCCTCACCACTTGAGCTACCTTATGGAATTAAGTTAGACCTAAAGCTCATTTTCTCAACAGCATGCACTGCTGCTGGCACAGATATGACATTGAAGTATGCAAGCAGTTGAGAAAGGAGATCAAAGACCTAATTGATTAGGGCTTTTTAGCATATGTTATGGACAGGAAACAATTTGCTTCGCCAAGTAGACAAGGTGAGGTTCAGCCAAATGAGAAATAATTATGCTAAGCATAGGCGAAAATTGTAAGTTCACTTGTAGCCATTTTTAGCTTTAATTGTTAGTTATTACTCTGCTCTCATGAGACGAGTTGTCTGCAAGACCAAGTTTACGAGCACAGGCTAGATATACACTTTAACTACTATCCAAACCAGTAACACAGGTTATTTGAACTGTCAATCATGAATCTCATAGGGGCTCGAATTAGTGTATGTTTCCCTATAGGTCGAACAGGCAAAATGACCAAACTACTAACCGGAAAAGATCACACAAAAGAACAATTATATCAGATATGAGTATTTCGTAATGGAGTGAAGGGCAAACCAGGCTACTCTTCAGACAAACCATAGCCAATGTCCCAGTTCATGCTCCTTCCAAACCTATGCTTTAAGACCAAGTTGATATTGCCGCAAAAAATATGTTAGAGCTATAAGGCAATTTGCAATATGGATTATGTTTGGAAATAATCATTTTATCAAACACAACTTAAGAGGGATAAGGCCGTGGACTCTATTGGGCAAAATCCATGCAATATGTGCATCGAGCTAGCATCTCCTTGGCGCACCGAGTACGTCAAGTTGAGACATCATCTTTTATGTGCACCGCACGTAAACTTAAGCTACCATATTCTCCATGCACCACAGGCGTTGAATCAAGATTTCATCTCCTTCATGCATCACGCTTGTACGGCGCACTTGATGTGTGAGTCGGAGGTTCTTTGCAAAGGCTTGCATAGCATGCCAATTATATTCTTATTGCATCATAGCGTGTGAAGTAATAAAATCAGGCAAATCCCTTAAGTGGTCGGGTTGCGTCACCTTGTCAAGTTTCTTAGTCAGACGGGTTGCACCAATCTCACACAAATCACATACTAGAATGGATTGCATCAATTGTCGTAATTTCGATAAATCTAACGACTGAGTTTCATTGTTGTAAGTCGCTTTATGAGCAGTGTTAAGAGTTGCGAGTGCATCATCGGAAACAGATCTCGGATGCATGATAACAGAAGTGCAGGACAAATAAACGCGCTTAGACAGTTCTTTGCCGAAAGGTCTACCATGCAGGGAAATAGGTAGATTCTCAACTTTATCCAATCTTAGTTCGGCCATGCAGTAAAACAACCCCAGTGGAGCTCAGGATAAGATGTTATCATGCTAGATCCAACGGTAACTTCCCAAATTACTGTGAATGTACCGCTACTTCAAGTTGATAGTAAAAGAAAGCTTTCTAATAAACATGCAAAATGAATGGCTTAATCACATCGCCGTATAAATACTTTTGCAGAGACAGGATGTCAAAAGGTTAGAAGAGGACTGCACAGAAGTCAAGAAGAATCAGGAGAGCCGTTATTAAGGAACAGATAAGGAGTCAAATCTTTCTCAAAGATAGCTCCGTAGATCAAGGCAGTGCAGCTGTGATTACACCCTAATAATGATTGTTCTAATTCCATCAACGTTCAGTAAGTAGGGATGACTTTAAGCGATTAAGTCTGCTTATACAAACAAAGGTTGCACCTAGAGTGCCTTATATCTGGTTTAAGAAAAAGTTCTTACATATACTTCTATTGATTAGGTAGTCTGTCACCGCTGATTATCCACAGCTAAGCAACAGAATATTGCACCTGAAGACCTCCGTCTCTTATAATAACCTAGTAGCGTCAAACCACCTGTAAAACCTTGCTTAATGGGAAAATGTGAATTGGAGTGGTGCCGTAAGAGTGGAAATATATAGGATTTCCTGCAACCCAAATAGGCTCGTTCTGCGGTACTAAACGATACTCCCTCCGGTCCACAATAAGTGACCAATTTACTTTTAGCACGCCCATTAAGAAAATACTAAATTCTATACAAAAATACCTAGTATGACTAAACTACCCTTAATTAAATATTTAATGTGAGGAGTAAGAAATCTTTTTAGGGATATGTACATAAGGGTAAAATAAATTGAATTCTTTCTTGATTATATAAATGGACACTTATTTTGAACCAAAATAAAAAAGCAAATTGGTCACTTATTATGGACCGAAGGGAGTAAATATGATTGGCAAAAAGATATATTAACTATTAAGGAAATCATTATGAATGAAGTCGTTACTTTGTTCTCGCATGACATATATATTTTTATTTTTTTTTCTTCACTGTGCTTTGCGCTTAAAGCCCAAAAGACCTGGAGCAGTAGAGCACTTTTTATCGCTTTTCGCCTTTGACAACACTGTTGGGATCATCCCTTGAAGTAAATAATACTCCACCTAGACATGTTTCCATTGGTCCCTAATGGTAATCCCTACTTCGAGATTGACTGGTGAAACAATAGGACAATGCACAAAAAAAGATTCCGTGTCCAGCTATACAGCTAGTTGTTCCAAAATAATAATACATGCAAGATGGATAGCAAATAATGAGAAACTAGGTTCTCAAGAAAGACAGATGAATACTTCTTTCAACAAGAGTGTATATATATCCACTAATGACAAAGAGAACTTTCCTTTTTCTAGGAAGAGACAAGCACCAAGCGAAAATACTCTACCGAGCACTATTATATGATAACACTATGAGCCAAACGAGCATCCTACAGAAGGATAAATGAGATACCACACAAAAGCACAATACTAGTCGTGGAGCCAGGATGAAAGCTAAGCAAGCATGCATTTTTATCACTAATGGATATCCAGAGATTAATTGCACTAACATGGATTTTCATGCTACCACTTAATAAAACAATGAAGACTCTCAGTTTCTGAAGATTTAGCATTATATTGCATGCAATAAGGAGAAAAAAGGATTTCCTTTCAAGGTAATGAAAAGTAATTGGTGACAGTAAGCTAAACGATCAATGTCTCTCTTTGATCCAATAAGTGAATTTCGCAAAAGAAGGAAAGGTAATCCTACTCCTTAACTGAACTGGAAATCAACAGAACTAAATGTACATCTGACCCTAAAATTTGTTTTCGTCTGACAATTTCCATTTAGATTCTCCATTAGCTCTTCTAATTATAGCACAAAAACTTACCTACTCTCTAATCATGAAGCAAATAGAGTATTTCCAATTCAACCTTTCTTCTTATTTTTCCTCTAAATTAAATTCCAGGTCCTATGGCCAAGATCATGCAAAATACGAGATCTTGAAAGCTTTATCCTTTTTCTCTTATTTTTCAATTGTTTGTTTTCTTAAATCTTTCCTTTTACCTTTTAACTGTACTGGTAGACAGGAATTGTAAAGAAAGGTTACTCAGAAAATAAAATAATAACGAAGCAGAGTTTGTGAGTAAACAAAAATATAAACAGCACATAATTTTGCAATATGTTGAAACAATATCAAGAATCATAACAATGAGAATATCAAATGTTTGAGTAGCAATATTTAGTATCTAATTATATGCAACTTTTAAGCAAGAAAAACAAAATGCTAAGTGGAAAAAAACAGTAAGCACTATTACCTGGGGGATTGACAATGGGAGAGAAAGCTATAAGGGCGGTCATTAGAGGTGGAGCTAAATTCTTCAGCAACTTCACCTCATATGAGTATTTATTCTTCTTTTCGCCAAATAGGTTGTCTCCTTCATACACATTTCTCTTCTGTGAACGATTAGGAGTAATAAAAAGCTGATTAATTATATACCCTAAGAAACAAAGAAGAAGAATTAATAAAGAAACACACTGCGTTTTTCTTTTTTGCAGTTTTATTAGGGTTTAACGGGTTGTACCTTAGTTTGTGTTGCCAAGAATTTTATGGAACAGCTCTGGTCAAGGCAAGTGGGCGACATAGAGAAGGCTCGCATTTTTCCTTTGGCTTTCTGATGGAGGAGGCTTCTTCTGCTGCTGACAGTTGGATTTTTGCAGTGTGATTTTGGATTGAGTAAATTGCACATTTGGTACATCATGTTTTGGGAAAGTTTAATTTGATCCTTAAATGTTTTACTTATTTTAATTCCGTCCTTAACGTTCTGAATTAAAGAAATATCATGTGCCTTTTCCCTTCTTTTTTTTTAGTTACGTTAAATTTTTAAAGCTTCTATTTCTTAATTCTTTTTTGTTGAACATAAAAAGTACATGTACATCTAGAGAGAAATTACCATAAAAAGGTTTAACTTCTCAGTACCTTATACGTATTTAACATAACGTATGAAGTATAACAATTGAATCGATAACATATTTTGAGATGTTATTATTATTTATTTCTCAAGAGAAATTACAATAAGTGAAGGAGGGGTAACAAAAATTATTAATCAACCTATAAACCAAGGAGCTAGGCATGTAGAAGTGTGTAATAAAATAAATATCCTCTAGTGAATAATGAAGGATTTACGAAGTTACTTATTAAAGTCCGGAGAAAAAAGATCCAAGAAACAGATTTGTTGCTTGAGGAAATTAGGAAACAACATAAAATCTAGGCCATTTTGAATTTTCAAAAATTAAAACCATCAGATTTCTGCTATCTAACTTATAAGTTATTAGCCTCGGTAGATCTTGTCAAGATAAGTAAAAATTAAAACCGTTTACTTTACTTAAATTACCTTCGAAGTCAGGTGCAAACACCTGTTTAACACTAGAAAAAAGAAAAGATTGATAAGATATCAGGTAAACCATATAGAAGTTTCAAGTAAATTAAAGTCAATCTTAAACTAACACTTGATTATTTAGCTTTAGTTGCAACATCTTTTCCCTCATCAATCTTTTTGGGACGTCCTTGGTCTAACGCTTGGATTAATTTGTGGGCGATTTATTTTGTTAATTATTAGGAAATAATTAAAATTACTAAATATAGGGGATTACATAGGAATGTAATTCATTCTTTTACCCCTCCTTTATGATTTGAACCCACAATCTTAGGGACATTGAAGGTAAATAGTGCTTATCACTTGAGCAATCATCTCTTTATGATTTGAACCCGCAATCTTAGGGACGTTGAAGATAAATAGTGCTTATCACTCGAGCAATCGTCTCTTGTCCTATCGACATACATACACATTCTAGTCTTATCGACATACATACACATTCTATAATGGGAGTACTCCTATCCTCCCTTTTACATTGTAATTAAGGTGTATAAATAAAACTTTAAACTATATATGAAATGGATGATTTCCTTTTACATCGTTTCTTATTAACGGTGAAATCAGTATGATTGATTAAACTTAGCTTGTACCTAAAGATATGAGCTAACTCTTATACCCATATTCAGTAATCTTCGTGCATGGCAATGTAACTCAGTCAAATTTGCCAAAAAGAAAAAAAAAATGTAAACAGTTATCGACTCCATAATTCTCAGTAGTCCACAAGTTCATAACCTTCCTGTATATGTATGCACCCGTCATATACTTTACTAATAATAAAGAAGATATTCTCAATGATCCCTTTAACTCCCCAGTGTATATATCTCCCATTTTGTGCATAAAATGCACCATATAAATAGATTACATAATTACTCTCAATGCAAACCAGCTTGTACACTTGCATTGGATGATTCCTCTTTGCACTATCTATTAAGTCATAAGAAGGATACAAAGATGTATTCTTTCTGAAAGTCTACCATTAAATTAGATATCAAAGCCCTTAAACGTCTAACCTAGCTAGAGAGAAACAAATAGTTTTTTTTTTTCCAAGAGGACAAATCAAAGTCATACTTTATCATCTTAGTTATCCCAAAAGAACAAATATCTTCTCAATTTGCATAATAATTTCTTTATATATAAGGGGAATTCCTTTCAAACAAGAAGTGAATACACAAACTTTTGAAAGAAATGCTTCAGCAGGAATTAATCACAATTCACAAATACTGTATTAGGGGATAAAGGATGCAGCATGTTTAACAGTACTCCTGGATGATATTTAAAAAAAAGACATGAGATTGTACATTTAGTAAAACAGTAGTACTATAGTACTGATTAATTGATAACAATTAATCTCCAAATTAAAACCATAAAACTATGATAAGATCTCATGAAAACCAAACTTCCCAACGTTTAAAATAACAAAGAAACTAGTATGTCATATGCTGTAGCCATATTACATGTTTTTGGACTCATCATCCGAGTCCTCAACGGTGACAACATCTTTTTTTGTACTGGTTCCGATCCCGTCTGCCGCTGCTGAATCCTTGTTTTGAATCACCTCGACCTCAATGTTCTTCATCTTTGCTTGTTTCGCCTGCAAAATATTAATATCAAAAGTTGCATTAGCTAGGGTATATACAAAGAAAGTCTTGAAGGAAATTGGAGCAGGGGTATAACAGTAATTTTACAGAGAGTTTTCGGTAAAAATCTAGGTTGACAAGTGTCTCCCTTCTGTCACTCCTCCCCCCCCCCCCCTCCCCCTCCCCACCCCACCCACCACCAACAACAGCGTTCTGTATAGCCACGACTCATGAATTCGTAGAACATATCGACATACAAAAAAAGAAGATCGAAAAATCCTTCACAAAATGAGGCATGATATATCTTTTTATTTCGACAAAGAAAAAAGCAATCAATCTTTCGATCAAAGGTTTAGAGTGAAAATAAAGCAGAAATTAAAGTGTTTATATAGTTAGACCTGGTCCATAGCACAATCAACAAGTCGCAAAATGATTTCTTGCTCCTCTTTAGCAAGACGAGGGGTAAGCCTAGCCAGAATCTTCATGTCACGAAACCTCAAATAATGCTTCTTACGAAGAGGACCAACGCGGCTAGAAGAGCTAGCAACATTCTGTGGCCGATCAGCTTTTGGTTTTGGTTTGCCCACAACATTTGATTCTCTAGATGCTACAGAACCAGCAGCAGCGGCAGCAGCTTGTTGTGGTTGCATGATAATTGGTAACTGTGGAGCAACATTAATCGGAAGAGGACTTGAGTCTGTTGATACAGCAACAGAACCACAACCCTGCTGCTGCTGCTGCTGCTGTTGTTGTTGCCGCTGCTGCTGCAGATAAATGGGATTATATGGCAAAAACACTTTCCTATGTGAGGTTCCTTTTTTCCAGCCATGTCCCAAATGACCCTTTGAATGACCAGCTAGGCCTTGGCTTGAATCAAAGTATTTTGAACAAATAATACATTGGTAAAACAACCTACCTCCAATTCCTCCGGCCTGCATTTTCTAGAGAGAGAAAACTTCTGAATTTTGAGGGATATGTTGCTGGTCAGTGAATGAGGAGTATATAAAGGAGGGAGGGGGGGGGGGGTATTAAAAGAGGGAGGTTACTAGGGCAGGGGGGAGTTGGGGTTTGGAGACAACTCAGCTTTTACTGAGATGCTTGGATGTATTAGAAGATTTGTTGACTGTTTTATTTATTTCTTTGTTTGGCATAGTGAGCATTTATTATTCATGATAAGAATAAATAGGTTTATAAACTACTCGTAATTATTACAGATTGGAACTGAGTAAATATTTAGTCCTATTTATTTCTGTGCTTGATGTGTTCATTGTTTCATCAGCTAAAATATTTCTTTTTGAAATGAGAGTATATATTAGCTCTATTGTTACAATATTAATGCTCTCTATTTTTTTTAACCTCTTAGGCCCTAGCTCGGTGGATTGTTGTATAAATTTAGAAAAAGAAGAAGATAACAATGAGTGAGAGGCGTTATAATGTATATCTTACTTCACGAGTAATACATCAAATTGGTTAAATCTAAAATAATAACATACTCTTTATTTAATACGATCTCATGATATATATATATATCAATATACATAGAGATTCACCGATTACATTTCAGCCATCCAGCAATCCTAATCTATTTGAAAATTGCTAGAATTGATATATCCATATATCATATTTCTACAGGCATAAGAGTTTTTTCCTTATATTCGGTGAAAATCACATGTTATACTATATTCCAATAAATAGATATCTATGTTATGATACAAGTCCACGTTTTCAAAAAAAAAAAATGGATGAGATTGGGTCCCAGCGGATCTAAACAATCTCATAGAATTACGTTAGGTACCATATGAATAGGCCCGAGAAAACCCCTGTATAGCTTCTTCGATTTCTCAATAAAGAGCAATATGACCAACAATGGTTCGAATATATATAAAAAAGATTTATTTTTTTAGACTTCTTACTATTAGATAGTGTCCATAAATCTCATAAAAAGTACCTAAAGATTCATAGTGAACTTCGATGGGAGTTTCTCTTGAAGCAATTACGCGTTGATCTAGTCGCCACCGGAGCCACAAAGGACTATCTAAATTGATTCGTTTCTGCCGATAAGCCCCAATTACATCATAGGAATTAGAAAAAAAAATGGTTCTTTCATATACTTATAGTGACTATTGTCACTTCTTTTTTTTATTTGATAGTTTCTGCGATTACATGTATTATATCTATTTACACAAATACTTTGAAAGAGTTGCAACTCTTATGGAGATTTTAAATTGGTGACCAATCAATTCCTTGGTAATTATTCAGTTAAAAAACCTGACCTGAATTGATTCCATACTATAATTATGCAAACAAAAAGGCTTATTGGGTGACTTGGTGATGTGACCATAGGGCAGATGCCCTTGCAAGACGCTCAAGATCTATAGCTGCTTGGCTTGGTTGGAATGCTTGCCTTGGGGTAGAAAGGTCAGGCTTTGAAAATAGTTACTCTACCCTATGTCGAGCAAGAGTTTGCTTCCTTTCCCTAGCACGGTTAGAATTGACTTACATCCGTCTTCTAACTCGTCTTTCTTTTGCTCCATTCCCGAGCTCCTCGATCAATAGGTGCGGGAGAGGAGTTGAAAGCTACTTAACTGTAAGGAGAGGAGCTCTAGCCACTCTACTTCCACCGTCGTGTAGCCCTGCGGATAATTCGAATACCGGAACATCCTTCCATCCCTCATTCAATTTGATCTACCGGCTC